AAGGTTACATGAGACTAGATGAGGGTGCACAGGATCAAATCAAGCAGGACCTCTCTGAACTTACCACACTGTATTTCGTTCTATCTTTTAAATTGTTCTTCTCTTCTGTGAAGGGCCTCAACTCAATGATCAGGATTGTTGTATTCCTCAGAGATTAATACTATGACTAGAATAAGGTGGATGTTCAAATATTTATTGAATACAATCAATAAAATGTAAATCTAGAATTCCCTTTACCAATTCCATTTATATTGAAATGAAAAGCTAACTTATTAGTTGAACAATCATTTTTAGTAGGTGGGAGGCTGAGCTGGGGGCTCATGAGCCCTACCAGCATTCACTACAACCAAGGCTGCTGAGTGGGCTGTTGTAGATTTTCTCAAGATCGCAGGATCCAAGACCCCACTCATTCCATTTCGCTCTTAAGAGAATGAAGCAGAGATAAAGAATTCAATGTAAGAAATTCCCTGGAATGGGAAGGTGCAAAACGGGAAAAGTGGCAGAAGACTAATTTTCACTAACCTATGACAACACAGTTTTTCTGAAATCTGAGAGAACAGTTTCCATAAATAGTCTCAAAGCTTTCCACTGCTAGATCAGAAAACCACTATAGTAGGAAGAGGCAAGGGGATGTAGCTCAGTGGTACAGCAAGTGCCTAGCATGCTCAAGGCCCTTGGTTTTGTTTCTTTTGTAGTTGTTTTTGTTTTGTTGGATTTGCATATTATTTATTGAATATGGCACCAAAAATACAGGTAAAAATCAACAAGTGGGACTGTATCAAGTTTTTAAAATTTTGCTTATCAAGGATACAATTAACAAAGTGAAAATGTGACCCACAGAATAAGAAAAAATATTTGCCAACTCATTTATCTGGGAAGGGGTTAATATTTAAAATACATAAAGAACTCCTAGAACTGTGGGAATTAACAAGTATAGAGTTTTAGTTTTGTAAGAAGAAATAGTTCTGGAGAACAGTGAAGGCCCTGGGTTTGATCCCCAGTACTGCATTAAAGAAGAAAAAAGTGTGGGGGTGGCAATACTATTATTGGGAAAAGTTGTAACTTAATACTGAGTATAGGTCTGAATACTGGCTATTTAAAACTTTTACATATCTACTGATAACTAAATATTTATAGCACAAATATGCATATATATGTATTTACAGCCTCCTGACAAATATTGCCATTCAAGAGCCATTCAATGATTTGCAATCATTTAAAAAAATCTAGATATATCTTTATATAAATTTGCCACCTATACAATCATATCATATAGCAGTCAAGAGCACTTGTTAGTCTCATCTTTTTTTATTTTTGTTTTTGTTTTTTTGTGGTGCTGGGGATTGAGCCCAGTGCCTTGTGCATGGGAGGCAAGCACTCTACTGAGCTATATCCTCAGTCCAGAGTGGGGCGTTTCTTTTTTTTTTTAAGAGAGAGAGAATTTTTAATATTTATTTTTTAGTTCTCAGCGGACACAACATCTTTGTTTGTATGTGGTGCTGAGGATCGAACCCGGGCCGCACGCATGCCAGGCGAGCGCTAGTCTCATCTTTTAACTCCGCATTTTCCAAACACTATCTTCACTTATTAGATTGAGTAACTGTACATTGTTCCTAATGAACAAAACTCACTACCTATTGTTCCTTTCTCAAAGGTAGAGTCTTACAAATGAAGTATTCAGGGTACATCTTAACCTAGAAATTTAAAACTTGGTAAAAATTTAAATTGTGTGATAAAATGAAAAGTGTTAACTGAAACATAAAGGCACAAATACACAAAACACATGATTAAAAGTGAACCATACATCTGAAAAGTAATTAGAGATTTGCTAATTAGTACAGAAAATCCATGTTCAAAATTACAGTCTGCTGTAAATCTGGCAGTGTGCAGAATGCTCTAGCCTTCAATGTGTTTGGTTTGGCCAGAAGAGTGAGTTTTGTTTTAATGTGAATTTGAATGCTTTTAGGAGGTATAGATATATTTTACCACAAACTCCACCACTCACAGTTATATAACACTGAGCCTCATCTATGTTATTTGTTTAGCCTTGAAGATAGTTCAATTTGCAAAGCCTACAATTGTAAATAAAGTTGTTTAGTCTCTTACACATATTCTAAAATGACTTTGGGGGCATCAAGTGCCTGGATCAGTGGTAGAGCACTTGCCTAGCATGTGTGAGGCCCTGGGTTTGATCCCTAGCACCACCAGAAACAAAACAATAATAAATACTGAACTAACCAAAAAAAATTCTAAAACAACTCCAGAAAACACTGAAATAGCTACAATATTAGAAAAGCACTATTTTTTTTCAGTGACACAAACATCACAAAAGGTGAATAAGACATTTCTTAACAGCAAGCTCATCTTCTATTATTACTATTCTATATACTCATACATTCTATTATATATACATTATATATACATGTATATTATATATACATTCTATTATACTCATCATTCTATTTTCAGAGGTTTTCTGGGATCAGGAATCAACTGCCTCATTTTTTACTATTTCACAGGGAAGTCAATGGGGCCTAAAGAGGTAAAGTGACTTTCCAAGGTCATACAAAAATATTCTGAATGTTTCACCCAACTGTTTTCACCCAGGGTTCTGAGCCTGTTCCCACCAACTGCTAGGTATTTTGCACAATAGTCAGTAACCAACAAGTAGTACTGAGATTTATTTCCAAGAGATGAACTTAGTTGTTGCTAGAGTTGAGAGAAAAAAGCTGATGCCAACTCAGCAGTTATGGTGCTTGTTGAATGAATGGATGGATATATGAATCAATACAACTTTAATGTAGTTGGTGAGCCCTCATTTGGATGAAGAAGCCAAAGGTGTTATAATCCAGTTCCAGAATACCTAATTAAGTCAAACTTCAATATTTGCCCAAGCCAGCAAATCATGTTTTCTTTATTTGGTCAAATAAATACATCTTTATTAAATTTAAAATTTGGGATAGAGCTCAGACCTAACTCAAATGTTTTCCAAAGTAACTCACAAACATGTTGCTTTACTACCGTATTAGAGAGAACATCGAAAAACATTATTTTGCAACATTCTCTTTTCCAAGCATAGCCAGCAGCAGGTCTCAACAATTTGTGTCATACATGCCTCTGGGAGCATACAGTAATATTTGGAAGCCTCCATTATGGTGCCAAAGAGAACTGCAAGAAACACAGCTTATTATTGCCTATTTTTTCCTTTGCTTGTTTCTTAAACTTACATCAGCAGATTCAAGGTTAATGTAGCTAAGGAGTCTTGTGAGTGGACCAAATTCTGCTCTGTCCTCTCCTCGTCATACCATGTTCCAAGTATTAAAAAAAAAAAAAATTGTAGTTGTAGATGGACAGAATACCTTTATTTTGTTTGTTTATTTTTATGTGGTGCTGAGGATTGAACCCAGTGCCTCATGCATGCTAGGCAGGTACTATACCACTGAGCTACAGCCCCAGCCCCCCAAGTAAATTCTAATGGTGGAGAAATTATTTTTAGCTACCTTTCCTCCTTCTACCATTTCATCTTCTTCATTTCTTTTCCCCCACAATTTTCATAGAAAGAACTTATGAGCTCAAGCATATTCCCCAATTTGTTTTGTGGGAAAGGATCAAATGATGTTTATACACAGCACAGGATAAGACTGGGAGAAAAGGTTAGGTTCTGCACTGGCGGCAATGGGAAGTGCTACAGTTTGGATATTAAATGGCCCCAAAAGGCCCAAGTGTTAAAGGCTTGGACCCCAGGGTGGCACTACTAGGAAACAGTAGAACCTTTAAGAGATGGGGGCTAGTGGGAGATCTTTAGGTTACTGAAACATGCCCTTGAAGGAAACTGTGGTACCCCAGTCCCTTCCTCTTCTGCTTTCTAGCCATGAGATGAGCACTTTTGCTCTGACATATACTCCCCACCACTGCCATCCAGAGGAACGACCACCAGATGCCTAAAAGCATAACTACTAAAACCATGAGCCAAAATAAACCTTTTCTCTTTATAAGTTAATCAGGCATTCTGTTTTAGTGACAGAAAGCTAACATGGGTTAAGGAAAAGCAGTCATGATCTACAATTCTGTTTTGGCTTTTACAATAATCATCCTTTCCACTTAGGAGTGTCAAAATTTCAAAAGAAGCAAATGTGTAACTCTGTATTAAAGGTGTTCTGTCTCTCTTATGACATCTATGAACTGGGGAGATGCAAGGTAGGTAATTCAGATACTGGAGAGAACAACACTAGCAGAGGGTTCGTACACGCATGGAACATCTGCTTGGATGTGTCTTGCACTCATGAGCACACCTGGACAATGGGATCAGGAGCCAGTAGATGAATGCTCCCCATCTGAGATACAGTATGTATAGCTTCTCAGATGCTGGCAGTTTCCAGCCCAGTTGCCCAAGTGGACCAAATCATTAACGTATTCTTGTAGCACCTTTCTCTTCTTCCCTATTTCATTTTACCTAGCCTTCCCCTCGTGGTTCCTCAAACTTTCAAGCTCCATGTTCTAGGGGATCCCAGGTTAAAACAATAGTCACAAAATTGGGAGAAATCTTTCTCAACTTGTAGGGTACGCCCTTGTCTTGGTGCAAAAATCTTAACACCTCAAAGATCAGCATGCGGTTCTAGTATTATTTCCCCATGCACATAGGATAAAAGAGCAAAAAGCTTATATGGAACTAGGCTCCATTATATTTCTTGAAGAGTACCTCGGAAAGTTAGACAGGCAATTTGAGAAGAAAAGTCACAGGGGAAACCCCCTCTACCCTCTTCTCCATGGAACTTTTGTAAGGACTCTCCAAATGGGATACAAAAACCTGAAATGATGAAAACACTAAAATGTGCACACATAATATGCATCTTCTGTATCTACCCCAAACCCCCAAAGAGCCGGATAACAGGAATGAAGAATCTGTTGAAGTCCTGTATAACTACCAAATGATTCAGGAACAGAAACAGGTTGCTAATCCTCCTCCAGCTGAGGAAGGCAAATGCAAAAGATATACTCACACATCATTGAATTCCTCCAGAGATCTTGCAGGTGTAAACACATCCAACAGACCAATCACCTATTTAAAAGAACATAAATATTGTACAGTAAATAAATATTGAATTTATAATACCCATCAAGTCATAAATTGTTTTACATTGGATAAATTCCAAATCTAGTCACCTAAATTAATAAAATCACAGCATCATATACTTAATAACTCCAACTGTCTATCCTATTTTGTCATCTAAAGTCTTGATTTTTTAAAATTTAGTCACATAAGTCAGTAGTTTCTCTGAAGGAAACAGGATTTAGGATTCCTGCCTTATGTATGTATTAAGTCTAATGAACAAACAAACAGGAAAAAAGTCATGCTCCTCCAATTATTGTCATAGTATTTTGTTTTTTAAAACATATTTCATAGAATTATGGCCTACAAAACCGACATTTTTAAAAAGTATTATCTCAGTATACTGTTGATGTTATTCTAATAATCTAAGATAAATTTCTTAATTATCAGATATTGAGATCAAATAATTTTAAAATGAAAAAGGAAAAGACTATCTTTATACAAGGATAAAGCAAGGAGCTATGCAAAACTCAGTAACACATGTCTTTGAGCAGATTTTTCTGGTCATAGATTTATAATACTGATTTAGTCACATACAGTACCCCCCGTTTCACCAGTTCCACTGAAAACCCAGACTGCTCATTTCAACAAAATTAGACACTAAAAACAAGAAATACCATAATTTATTTGTAATATGCCCAGCCAGTTTTAAGGCTGTCTAGATATGAAATGAACAAAAGCTAAACGACCCTCATGAAAACCAAACCATGACTGTGGCTTCTTTTGTATGTTGCTCTAAACAATCAAGTTAAACAAATACCTCCAAAAGTAAGACAAAATACTCAAAACACTGTCATAAAAAAATAAAATTTTTATTTTTAACACTATCATGAAAAATAATACTAAGTAGGATGCTACTTCACTCATCCAAATATCAACTTAAAAAAAAAAAAAAAACTTTTATTTTATTTATTTACCTTTATGTGGTGCTGAGGATTGAACCCAGGGCCTCACACGTGCTAGGTAAGTGCTATACCACTAAACCACAACCCCAACCCCAAATATCAACTTTTAAAAACAAATTCAATCATACAACCTGAACATGAAGGGGAAGAGGTGAGGAGGTCCTTGGAATTCAAGGATCGCTTTTTAAGTCTATGCAAATTGTTCCAAAGGAAAGACACAGAGTCACTTTTCAGACCCTTCACCACACAATTATATGCAAGAAAACCAAAACTGCCTATAATGGTAAGCCATTATAACAATCCTTAACACTTTGTGATATTTTCTTTGATTCTTCTAATGTGCATAAGTTAAATTGGGATTATACTGTGCATAAATTTATATTTCCTACCTTTCTACTTAACATCTACGTAACTTATTTTTCATGTCCTTATTATTCAATAATATTTGTATACGCTGTATTTATTATTTCTATATACCATATTTTAACATTAATATTTGGTAATGAATTTGGTTTCTGAGCTCCATTTACCTCAAATTAAAAGCATGGAGCTTCATTGCTTATTTTCATAGTACTGTGGGGAAGATTAAATAGACAAGGTATCTGAAGGCGACTAGGGCAAGGGACTAACCAGCTGAGGATTGCCTACATACACAGTGATCATAACCCATAGAATTTCATTAAAAATTACAAAGTATAACACATACATGAGCAAGTTTTTGAAGCAGCTACTTCCAGTAACAGAATTTGAAATGTAAAGCTAAACTATTCAAATGATTTGCTATAAGAAAGCGAAAAGCTTTGTATGATTTATATGATTTAATTTTAAGACGTACACCTAACACTGCCTTGGAAAAATAATACAGAAAAGCAGACTAATAAATAACACCCTATCAAAATCTAATTTCCTAAAAAGGAAAATATTTACAATATTTAATGTATTTAACACAAGCACACCAAAACAACAGTATGAAACTACCCAAGTTACATCAAAGTATTTTCTGTTTATTTGTTTGCTTTGTGGTGCTGGGGATTGTGTGCCAATTTAATAAAAATGTATTATTTCTATGTGTCATCCTTTGGATTATTATAGGATGATCATTAGAAATATTTGTTGCATAAGTATCATAAATGTACATTCTAAAAATTTCCAGGGCCCTGCACATGATAGGCAAGTGCTCTACCAATGACATTACGGGGGGGTGGGATGTGAGCTTTTGCAAAATACCTTTCTTACATTAATTGTATTTATGAAGTACAAATCCTAAGGAAAATATTGCAAAACATAGGCTTCTCAGCTTTATCTGGAGAACACTTTAGAAATATTCCATATATATTAATTTCTCACTTCTTAAATGGAAATTCCCTTTCAATTCAAGTCATATTTTAGCCTATCCCCTTAATCCTGCCATTATCTGGTTTCAGTCACCTAAAAGTAACCTAGGATTAAAATTTTTAGAATGTACATTTTTGATACTTATGCAACAAATATTTCTAATGATCATCCTATAATAATCCAAAGGATGACACATAGAAATAATACATTTTTATTAAATTGGCACACACCCCAAAATAAACAAACTCTACAAAGGCAATATTTAATATCTTTTAAAATAACCACAACAAAACAACCACAGGGTTAATCACAGTAAGGTCAAATCTAAGCTTCCCCAATAAAACTTCTGGAAGAATTCCCATAATTATTTTTAATTTAAGATGTACAGATCTCGAGGCACATAAGTTGGCAATCTAAGTAACTGCCCAGACAGCAAAAGGATGCAGCTGGCAATCTGCTTCTAATCACCCCTTAGAGCAGGTGTTAATGAGGCAAGGTCAAAAGTTCAATCAAGAACGGGCCAGCTGACTTTGTTCAGAGGAACTATCACAGTCACAGTAGTCATCCCCTAACTCCAGTCACCTATGTAATAACTGTGTGGTTGTCATTTGTTATCACTGATAGAAATAACTCAAGATGAACTACCCCTGAGGTCAGAGGCATATCTGTGTAAAAGATTACATATGTATCTGGCCCCTAAAAAAATCTGTCACCAACAAAGTTTTCAAGAGTTTTAAGCTGTTGGGACTGCTACCTTTGGAGGCTGCGCAGCTAGCTAAAAACCAGATGGAGACTCAAAGCAGTCATTAAAAAAAAAAAGAAGAAAAAAAGAAAAAGTATAATGAAGAAGAGGAGGATGTAGGAGAAGATTCCTTTGAAAAATCCTCAATTAAATCTACTAGAAGACTTGGTTCTTCACTGTGTAAAACTACTTTTACATTGTAAGCACCTCACAGATGTTGACAGAACAGACTACAAGGCAGAAAATGTTCTTCATGAAGTCAAAGTCTTCTGGCCTCTTCTCACCCCCGCTCCAAATGTGTCAAGAGAATAGAGAACCATGAGACATTCAACTATGTGCCTTCTTTTGTTCAAAAATACAAGTCACTAATATCTACGTTTAGATGACCCTCTACCGATAGAACCTAAACATCTTAATATAAAAAAGATGGATAGCTAATAAGCAAGGTGCTTAGAAAACAATTTATATAAATTAAAATCCTGTTTTTCATCAACCCTCTTTTTAAAAAAAATTTTTTTTAGTTGTTGATTGACCTTTATTTATTTACTTATACGTGGTGCTGAGAATCAAACCCAGTGCCTCACACGTGCTAGGCAAACACTCTACCACTGAGCCACAACCCCAGCCCCAACAACCCTCTTAAGAGTCCTATAGTCTTTCTTAAATTAGAATAATTGTATCCTATCATTCTGTGGCCCCCCATACCTCTACAAGCAAATTATAATCCAAATAGAACTAGCCCAGTATCATGTAATATATCAAAGTATCTCATTACAGAAAATTTAAACATTAAAAATTAAAGATGGGGCTGGGGCTGTAGCTTGTCTAGCAGGTGGCGAGGCACTGGGTTCAATCCTCAGCACCGCATAAAAAAAATCAATAAATAAAATAAAGGCATTGTGTCCATCTACAAGTTAAAAAAAAAAAAAAAAACCTAAACTAAAGATGGTTATTTTTTATGATTACTAGAAAAACCAAAGCGGGTAGATTCAGAGAACCCAAAATAATTTTTGTCTTATACACTGGCTAAAACTATTTGTATGAAAAAAGCAAGACAATGAAGTAATGAACTGGTAATCTCCTAAACCAGATGTTCTTAAATTAGCATCAGTGAGATACTTCAGCCTCTGGAGGTATTTTGGGGTTCCATAAATGTTCAGCTTGCATTCCATTTTTGAAATATTCTTCTTACTTAAAAAACTGTAACAATGTCTCTGTCACATTAATTAATGTGTAATGAAAAACAGCATACACATTCAAATGTGTTATAAACCAAATGTAAACACATCAGTTAAGCTGCCAGGCCACTTTGATTTTATGCAGACCTGGGAATAAACTTTCCCCTGCCAGCTTTTTCCACATATCTCGACTTCTTGTAAACATGTCATGATTAGGAAGGCTGCAGCTCTGCACTAAACTGGCCCATCCTGCAGTGCTGAGGATTGCACCCAGGGCAGCTCTGTCACCAAGCCACATGCGCAGTCCTCTTTTTATATTTAATTTTGAGAAAGGGTCATGTTAAGTTGCCCAGGTTGGCCTCCGACTTGGGATACTCCTGCCTCAGCCTCCCAGGTCTCTGGGATCACAGGTGTGCACCACTGTGCCCAGCTTTCTGTACTGAACTTTTTAAAAACCCAGATTTGCAAACATCTGCTCATAAAAATCAAACTTAGGAATAGAGGTTACCTGTAGAAAAAGGATTTTCTTAATAGTATGCACTCAAAATAAAACATGGAACAAAAAGATACAGCTGTTTAAAAAAGCATCCATAATGTAATCACAAATGTTAAGTCTTCATGTTCTCAATTTAGAAAGAACTTGCATCAATGAGACAAATGTATACTAATCAAGTATCCACTAACCTGTTTTTTTTTTCCCCCTTACTGTGGAGAAAAAAGTTCAATCATTAAAAAAGAAAGATTCTGAATTCCCAGATTTTGAATTTTTTTTGTGTGTGCACAGTAACAACCGATAGGGCCAATGACTCAACATCTTTCTGGCCCTTGTTTCTACAATGTTACAAGTTTTATAGTACCTTTTATACAGCAGTCACAGAAATTCTTCTTGATTTTGAAAGTCAAAAAATTAAGTGACATTCGTCAACAGTTTTTCACTTTCAGTTAATAATTCAATTACATCTACTGATTTGCCATATTAGGACTTATAATCACTCCTTTGCAAAAGGGCATTGTTCTCAAATTACTGAGTTGGTAGAAAAGAAAAAGTTATATTTAACTTAAACAATTATGTGACATTTATTAGAATAAAAGTCTCTTGAAGGTTAAAAAGAAAAATTATAATATCAAAGTACTGTACAGTCATCCCTTGTAGAGGACAACCACCGTCCTCCCATGGTTACCAAGATCTGCAGATGCCCACACTCCTTCTATAAAATGGCATGGTGCAACCTGTGCATATCCTCCCATCTACTTTTAAGATCATCTCTACATTACCTATAATCCTAAAGTAAATACTATGTATATAGTTGTTATACTGTTTTTTGTTTTTGTTTGGTTTGGTTTGGTGCTGGGGATTGAACCCAAAGCCTTGTGCATGCAAGGCAAGCACTCTACCAACTGAGCTATACCCCCAGCCTTACTGTATTGTTTAGGGAATAACAAAAAAGTCTGCATGTGTTCATTAGAGTTCAAATCTTTTTTTCTCCAGAATATTTTCTATTTGTGGTTGGTTTAATCTATGAATACACAGAGCTGAGGGCACACATAAAATAGCCATCTTTAATAGAACTTTCAGTGAATCAAAGCAGTTCCTCAAATTTTTTTACTAAAATAATCCATGTCAACAGAAAATAGCCATGAACCCCCCACATTGATAACATAGCCTTAAGCAAACCAGGCAAAGAGTAAAAAAATTTCCTTTTTAATATCGTTTAAACATTCCTAAGAAATTTGTGTTGTACTTTATAATGTACAACTTAAAAAAAAAACAAAACTTTCCCTCTAAAAATCTTTGGGTAAAACTAGAACTCCAGGAAGATGCACCATTTTTATTTCAAGACTCTGACTTGACAACCCAGTGGCCACTAACACACAGCACCCCGAGAAGCAGGAACGAAACTTCAATGCACTCCAATGTATTTCCACTGGCAGGAATTAAATCACAATTTTTCCGGTCTACTCCAAGAACAGACTATATCTTCGTTGAATGAATAACTTACATTTTCATGTTTCATGTGTTTAAGTAACCGCAGCTCTCTGTAGGTCCTTTTGGCATGAATGATGGACTGAAATGGTCTGGACAGCTTCTTCACTGCCACACGTAACCCAGTTTTTGTGTCAAAAGCAGCACTAAAGAGGAGAAAAGGGGGGAAAAAAAAGTCCCACCATTAAAAGTGCTTTAAATACCATTTTTGAATATTTACAAAGTTATTTCATTTCCAAATTAAATGGGTCTAAACAAAATAGAAAAAGGGGGGAGAAAACAAAAATACCTATAATCTCACTATCCAAAGACAGCTTCTATTATTTTTGGTGTTTCCTTCTAGTCTTTTTCATGCATCTAAATCAGTGGTTGGCAAATTTTTTCACTAAAGGGCCAGACACCGTGCAGCCCAAGGCCTGTCATCATGGCTCAGGTGTGGTTGTTTATAGCTGGAAAACAGCCAGATAATAAGTTAAAAAGCAGGTGTGGCTCTGTTCTAATAAACTTCACAAAAACAGGGAGTCAATTGATCCAAATAAGCCAGCAGATTGATAATCACAGTATTGGCTTTTCTGTCTCCTCTGCCTGGGCCTCACTTCATCTGCCACCATAAGCGGACGATCAGAGTAAAGGCTTTAGAAAATACTGTTTTCAGAAAAATGAGCTGGTACTAATATTTCCTGTGCACTTACAAAGTACTTGGCACTTTCTAGAGGGTGAGATACAGTAAGAAACAAACCAACAAATCCCTGCTCTGGGGAGAGAGAAGACCGGGAGAACAATAAAATAATTTCAGATAGTGATGGGTGTTGCAACAAAATGAAATGTTGATGGGAGAAAGAGTGAAAGAATGACAGGAAGCCAGTGCAGTTACACTACTTTAACTAGGATGTCTGAGGAAGAACACTTGCGCTTAGAACTGAACTAAAACCAGCATTAACCATGTGTGTGAAAATGAGCTTCGAGCACAAGAAATAATGATAAAAATCAACATTCTGCATCTTTACTACATAAAAGAAACTATTCTGAGCCCTTTATATTATTTTCTTAAATTAGCTCTTTTAATCGCAACACCCCTGTAAAGTAAGTATTGTCATTCCCTCACTCACAAACAAGGACAGTGAGCACAAAGAGGTTTTAAAGGGTGGTAAAGCAGAGAGACTGAATCTGGAGCTCTATGCTTTTAATCACTTGGCTAAGATGTCTTGTAAGAGCAAGTGCAAAGAAACAAATGGAAAAAGAAACAAAGGCAGACAGAGCATGGCAGGCTGTGTGAGCAGCGCTCAGGGAGCCAGGGGAGAGCACAGGGAATGAGGTCAGAAGCCGGCAGAGGCTGGACCATGCAGGACAGCTACAGCAAGAAACGCGATGTGTATTTTAAGTATTTTTGGAAATTGAGCTAATTCCATCATTCCTCATATCTCAGTCTAATGGGCACCTAAGACTTTCTGGTCATCTATGATCACCAAATTGACACCAAACTTTCTCTCACCGCTCTCTGTAAGTATTCCAGCTGTTCCTCTCCCTTTACGACCTTGCTTATGCCCTCCAATCTTCAACTCCCAATTCATGATACAGTCCTGTAAACCTTCAACCTCTTTTCTGAACTTTCCTGCCTCCTTGTGAGACGAGGCTGCATCTTGCAGACACTCCTCTTTCACAGCCCTCCATCAGAGGGGGAGTGCTCACCCAGCCAGCTTGTTTCAGGGCTAGCAGGCAGGCTGGGTGTTTTCCTTGCCAATTAGCACCACTTCAAGACCACTACTTTCCAACTGTTTTCTAAAGGCCTCTGCTCACAACCCTGATAAACCACCTCTCTCAGCTGCTGTTATCTACTGACCTGGAATTTTCCATCATTCACCAAAAAGAGTTCCCATCTGAAAGTCTCTCTCCACTTCCAACTTTCGTCATTACTCCTGGCAGCTTCAGCCTCCAGGTGGAGGGCGTATCCAACCTCCTGTTTCCTGACCACTCTAGGAAACTCCACCTCATCCAACCATCTTCACCGTCACTCCCCAGGTCTCCCTCCCCACCAAAAAGTGCCCTGCCTACAAAACTCTTTTCCCATCACAATCCTCCTCTCTTTAGTTCACTTGTACCTTGGCTAGGCAATTTGTTGACCTAATCATCATTGCTTGTTTCCATCCTTCAGCCCTCTCCTGTCCTCATTTCCTTTCTTGCTCAATGATGATAATTGCTACTTGTACCTCTCTCCCCCCAACCCCACATACTCACTGGATAAAGTCTAATCTTAGAAGCATTTAATTCCCCATGTCCAAATCCAAGGAACTAACTGTGATTGAAGATAAAAGGAACAAAACAGCACACAATTGGCTGCATTTTAAACTTCTGACCTTAACTTCAAATATGCTCTCAATAGTGCCACTCTTTTCTAGTGAGTTCATTTTTGTACTTCAGACTGATCATTTGACATCTTCTCTCACAAACCTCCAACTCAACCACTTCCCTTAAGAGGTACCCTTGCCTTCAATGGGAAAACAGAAACCATCAAAGGAGAGTTCCATCTGTCCATCACCAAATCTATAAACACATAGCACTTAGACCAATTCTCTCAATCTGCCCTTTTGCTAGAACAAAGGACACATGCCCTCCTTATCAAAGACCAATACATACTTCGGACCATCCCCCTTATCTTCAAGGGACTTCACTTCTTTATTACTTTTTTTTGGGGGGTTGGGGGGTACCGAAGATTGAATCCAGGGACAATTTACCACTAAGCTACATTAGCAGCCCTTTTTATTTATTTTGAGACAGGGTCTCGCTAAGTCTCACTAATGTACTGAGGTTGGCCTTGAACTTTGGATCCTCATGCCTTAGCCTCCTGAGTCACTGGGATTACAGGCATGTGCCACTGTGTCTGGCTGTATCATTCTTACCAGCATAAATATACTCTAGTTATTCTCTATCCTCAACAAAAACTTCCCTTGATGGCCACACATCTCAATATTCTCAAAAAAAAAGTCACCTATACCAGAAACTCCTAAAGTATGGGAACCAATATCATCAGTTTCACTGTGAATTTATAAGAAATACCCCTTTATTTAATTTCAACACACACTAAAGTATAAGAACCACTAGACTATACATCTGCTATACATCTGTGCTCCATGGACTAGTAGCATTGGCATCATCTGAGAGAACATCAGAAATGCAGAACCTCACACCCTAAAGGAGAATCTACATTTTTGTCAAGATCTCCAGGTGATTTACACAGCTCCTAAAGTATTGGAAAGCACAGATCTACACGACTGACTCATTTCCTCAATTCCCATCCTTCCTTCAATCCATTCCATTCAAACTGCTGTTTTTCTTTTTTAAATATTTTATTTACATTTTAGTTTTCGGCAGATACAACATATTTGTTTGTATGTGGTGCTGAGGATCGAACCTGGGCCGCACCCAGGCCAGGCGAGCACGCTACCACTTGAGCCACATCCCCGGCTCCCAAACTGCTGTTTTTCAAGGACATTAATGACCTCTGTTATCAAGTCCAATGACCACTTTTCAGGTTAGCAACTAATATGACTACCACTTCCCCTTTACTAAACACTCTCCTTCTATATCAACATTTCTACTGGTCCAAGGACTTCCCTGGCAGTTCCTTCTTTGTATCCACTGTATGTACCTCCATCCACAGGATGCAGTTCTTTAGGGCCTGGGCATGGGACCTCTTCCCTTCTCTTTCCCGCATTCTCCTAGACGATCTCATTTATTCGCATAAATTCAAATTAAATGCCATTTAATGTATTAAAAACTCCCAAACCTACATCTCTTACTGGAATCTCTTCTCAGAATTAACTGTCTGCAATACATTTTCTTATGAAAGACACATAAGCACCTTAAACTTAGCAAGTTCAAAATACCCACAACTATTCCTTTCCCTGTTATCTCAACAAATGGATTGTCCATCCAGTTGCTAAGGTCAGAAACTGGAGTATTATCCTTGCTTTCTCCCTTTTCCTTCAGCTCCTGGCCCCATCTAAATATATCAGCAAGTCTTGTGGGTATCTCCCTCCAAAATACATCTCAAATTCAACTTTTCTTCATTTCGCCACCATCATGTTAGCCATGTCATCCTCATTAGTCTGTCTTCTGACAGTAGACCCCCTGCTTCCTGTTTTGCCCCCTTCTAATATATTCTGCATTCCATACAATATTTTAAAAATACAAATCATTCATCTGCTTCAAACCCCTCAGGGAATTTCCTTGGCATACAGAATAAAATGCAAATTTCTTATCATTCTGAGTTACTTCTTCACCCCCTCGCCAGGCCTACCACTGTTCAGAACATGCTGGCTCCTTTCAGTTCCTGAAACTATTCAGACAGGCTGTTCCTGGTTCCCAAGATTCTCTTCACCCCTGCCCCCATGCCACCCCATGTCTACATCCTTATCTTTCAAGTATTGCCTTAGTCACCCCCAAGAGATGTATCTGTGAGGACCTAGCCAGTTACTGTCTGCCTCAACAGCTTCACTGACTTCATCCTTATCCAACAGAAAGGATGGGGGACTTTCTCTTCTCCTCCCCTTGCTTCTACTAACCCATATGATAATAACTTCTTCCTCTCAGAAGTACCACGCAGATGTTTACTCTTCTCTAAACTCAGTTCTCTAAACTGGCTTCAAAGCAGGGAAATGATCATGGCTCCCATGTGACTCAGCTTCTTCAACTCCCCACCTCAGGGTTTGCCTGCATCCTACAGGCTGAGCACCTTCTCTCTGTGGCTGGGGAACAAGGAATGCTAGCAGTTGCTAGCTGTCGGCTCCTCAGTGAGAATATAAGTTCAATTCGGAGAAGAAACAAAAAGCTCACCTGAATTACCTGTCCAAGCCATTCTCCATGCTAGCATTACCAGGAATAAAGTACATATTTTTAATCTTTATTTAACTCCTATTATCTACTCAATAAAAGAGACCAAGATTAATCAGTACCATACAGACAACAGTAGTCACAAATTATTATTATACATTTATTAACCATCCAGCAAAGTGGTTCAGCAAGGACTTGGGTTTAGGGATTAAAATTATCTGTATTTTGAGCTGGGGTTGTGGCTCATTGGTAGAGCACTTGCCTAGCATGTGTGATGCACTGGGTTTGATTCTTAGCACCTCATGTAAATAAATAA